TAGCTGAATAGTATTCCAGTGTGTGTGTGTGTGTGTGTGTGTGTGTGTATGTGTGTGTATCCTATCATCTTTATCCAACCATCTGTCAATGGACATTTAGGTTGCTTCCATGTCTTGGCTATTGTAAATAGTGCTGCTATGAACATTGGGGTCCATGTATCTTTTCAAATTATAATTTCCTCTGAATGTATGTATGCCCAGGCATGGAATTGCTGGATCATATCCAAGCTCATTTCCTATTGGAAAAAAAGACTAAAGTCTAGAGATGCACCAATGTGAAGCCTTGATTCATTTTTCTGCTTGGATTTCTAATGATGGAGAAAACTTGGATTTTAAATGACTTCTTCCTCCCTCCCTTTCTCCCTTTCTCTCTTTCTCCCTCCCTCTTTTCCTTCCTTCCTCTCTCTCTCCCTCCCTTCCTTTTTCAAAATGAATCCTTTAGCAACAATATGCTATTTTCAGAAAACCATTGAATTATAATTGGTGTCCAAGAAAGTTTCCACAAATCCTTTGTGTGCTATGATTAAAAATCAAGTTGCCAATGTAGATGAGTGAGACTCCAAATTTATAAGCAACTCGAACTCTTCTGTCAATTAACTTCTGCCAAATCTCCAGCTCCTTGACACTAAGTACAAATTTTAGAAATTTATCTCTGAGTAAATAAGCATTTAACTCGGTGTCCTATTTGAACACATTTAGTATCCACTAAGTACTCATTAAATCTCAGTTCAAATAATGCGACAATAACTTTAAATTGTCAGGTGGAATATAAAACAGAACATCATGTTAAAGTGAAAGTTAAAAAAAGGAAGTTAAATTTGTATCAAGATATAAATAACTAAATAGATAAACAACAAGATCCTACTGTAGGGAACCATATTCAATATCTTGTAATAACCTATAATGAAAAAGAATAGGAAAAAGAATATGTATGTATAATTGAATCACTATGCTGAACACCAGAAACTAACACAACATTGAAAATCAGTGACTACACTTCAATTTAAAAATTTTTTTAATTAAAAAAATAAAATTAGACATCAAAAAATGTAGACAATTAATAAGAATGTATTGGGTTAATGAATATTCCTTCCTTAATTTCCTAAGATAATTTGTGTGTGTTGTGACTGTTTGAGAAGCTACGATTCAGAGTTTCTAAGAACTCTTAACCTAGTATCATAAACATGGAGAGTCTTAATAACTATATTTGAAGTTGGTAAATTTTATCATTTGAGGGTCATTGACTCCATCTAGCTACATCCGAGATGCCTGGCAGTTGGAAGACAGGGAATGTTTCCAACTCCTCCTCTGAAGGAGCCTCCTCTTTTGCTGACACCAGTAGTGACAGGAACACGCTTCCCAGAAATCCTGTTCCAATCCTCACCCCCACTCACGGTCCTTTCCAAAGAGCATGCTCTTCTGTTGACTCTCCTGTCCTTGGCCTTCTGACCTTCACCTCACCTTAGCTACTCCCTGACTCCTTTGCCATTGACATACTCAACCCACACTTTCTTTTCTGATGTTGTTGTGGGTTGTTTGGAATGAAACTTACCTAGAAGCCAGAGGAAATTCAAAAGTCCTAATTACTCATATGTACCTTTCTCTGACACTTCTCTTTGTATCTTTTTAAAGTCTCCACCAACCGGAGGACTGCCCCCAGACTGCAGCAAATGTTGCCATGGAGACTACAGCTTCCGAGGCTACCAAGGCCCCCCAGGACCTCCTGGCCCCCCCGGCATTCCAGGTAAGGATGAGAGTGATGCACTCTTTCCAGCCTAATTGCAGACTGTGCCAAAACAGGAGCCAGGGGCGAACCTCAATAATTTGGGATGACATATGTGAGCCAAAGCTTATGCCTGGGAAATCCAAAAGGAAGCTGGGCAGGGAACTGGGTTGACTGAGTTAACCAGATGGAATGGTATAAAAAATAGTATTTATTATCTATACCACTGGCAGAATCCCACAAGCACTGGACACAGTGGGGCACCAGATTACAGGCTATGAGGGCCTTCACCAGCATGGAGTCTGGAACCACTGGAGCTGAGTGGGTTGCAGTATTTCTGCCACTGCGTGCTCCATGTGGGACACTAGATCTAACTTTCAGGGGTTGATGAAGTGAAGATGGGGAGGAAAGGAGAGCTTTCAGGTGAGGAGAGAGAGCTTGCTGGTCTGGGTTATAGTCATCTCCATGGTCCCATTTACTGAGCTACACTTCCTTCTGTCTGAATCTAGGTCCCACCAGATCTTTTTCCCCCCTAATCTAAGGGTCTTTCCCCACTCGGCTGTCTCTCACTTGACCTTCATGCCTCTGTTGGAGCCACAGGGACATTTTGGGGCTCCAGCACCACGTGGTGGCACGGGGCATGCCGCAGAGCTCCACTGGGTCCCTCTAGACCCACCATTCCACCATCTCTACCCTACTGAGTGGTGACCCAGCATGGAGCGACCTGGGTCAGCCAAGGAGAGGGCTGCTCAGGTCCTCTCCGTCCCAGGACTCCCAAATCTACCAGGGGGTTTAAGTGACTTTCTTCTCCCTAGGTTAATTCCCAGGGGTAAAACTTTTCCTCGGGGTTTGGCAAAATTCCACTTACTCTTCTCTAATTTACTCCCATTGCTGTTAATATTTACCAAACAGGGTTAAATTTTTAAAATACTTTTGAGGAGCTTTTCAAATGAAACCAAATTTAGAATGAGACAGTGCTCTTTTAAACTTTAAACTATGATTCCAACCTTTGAATCTATGTCACTGAACAACAAAGACAGCAGGTGCAGTGCTAAGGGGAAGGAGCTATCCAGACCCTTCTTAGTTTGGATACTAAACTCTTCTGGGTTACAGGACAGGCTGGCCTTGGCTACACACTCTCCATCAAGAACAGTTTTGTTTTTAGCACATTGACCTATAAACACAGTCAAAGTTCATCAGCCTGGAAGAATTGCAAGCCCAGTTTGATACATGATCAAAGGTGGCTTGGAAAGTCAACAGCAAAAGGGTCTGGAATTCAACAAATATAAAAACAAAGGGAGAGGTGTAGAAATTCTCTCTTAGTGACAAAGAGTTGAAATCATTATCCAAGTCTTGCTTTCAAGATTATTGTAATAATTTTTATATCAATCATTTTCACTTTTCCTCCGGTTATAGAAGTGGTACGTGTTCTTTGAAGAAAACTTCAAAAAAAAAAAAAAACCAGGAAAGTATATAGAATGACACAAAAATCACTCATGTTTCATCCATTATCAAAAATAAAGCACTTCAAATATTTTTTTGTAATTTGTTCTAGTCTTTTCCCCCTTTGGATAAAATATGTATATAGATGCACAACTCCATCCTATTTATATATATATATATATATATACACATAGTATCATGCTATGGCCAATTGATTCATAACCCCTTTTAGCTAAAAATATCATACTAAATGTTATTAAATATTTTTATTCAGCATTCTCTCTTTGTGCCTATGTAACAACATTTACTGGGTTGTACCATTTTTAAACTTAGCCCTTTCAGTATTTGTGGACATACAGGCGGTTTCTAATCTTTGCTATTATAAAGGATGCTTTAATAATCAGTCTTCTACCCAATTTTTCATTCAAGTCTTGCTTGATAAGAAAAACAAGCTTTGGAGCCTGGAGCCTTAAGAGCATCTAAGGCCATTTTCAGTGTCCCATTTAAAAGAGACCCCATTTGATCATGCCCCCCATGGCTGGATTTGGGATTGTTTCAAATGGTCCCCTTTTACAATTGAGTTTGTGTATTTTGGCAAAAAGTGGGGGGGCTACATTGGTATAGAAATAGATGATGAGTATGAGTGACTGGGCTTTCTCATATGATAATGTCTGGTTGTTTAAGGAAACCATGGGAACAATGGCAATAATGGAGCCACTGGCCACGAAGGGGCCAAAGGTGAGAAAGGAGACAAAGGTGACCTGGGGCCACGAGGGGAGCGAGGGCAGCATGGCCCCAAAGGAGAGAAGGGCTACCCAGGGGTTCCACCAGAACTGCAGGTAAGTCATCCTGGCACGTCTCCAGGTGACTTCTACACTGTCCTGACCATCAGGGTCCAAGAATCAGAAGGCTTGGGTGCTTCTTCATCCTCAGTGTTGACTAAACCTGAGTCTCAATCTGTCCATCGCCACCACAGGGGTTTTGCATAAGACCTAGCTGTCAAAGTGCTTTGAAATCATTCTTAGGGAGAAGAGAAACGTATGAAGGGTAAAATTCAACACCCTGATTAGACCAAATACAAAGTGATCTTGAATATCAACTAAGCTAATCTCTCACTTTCCAAATGAGAAGATATGTTAGATAAAAAGGTTCCTGGCAACCTGAATATATAAGTTTCTAGATACATAAAATATTATTAAGTAGACATTTGACCATTCCATTTATTTATTAGTTTTGTTACATTTACATATTTAAGTCATATATATGGGTATTAATATACAAATGTTATCAGATTTTGTGGCATAATTGTTACCTAAACTTTTCTCATCAGTATCTTCTTTATCACCAGAGACGTTTCATTTTGCATCACTCACCTACAGGTTTCCAGACCAGATGATATTTATCTCAGTTTAAAGTTTGTTTAATCCATTTATAAGGCTGTTATTGGACATTTTATTCCAAGCTCAAGTACCCACCTATCTACTCTTTATTTCTGTCTTAAATGATCTTCAAAATTCTTGTCAGTAAGATCTAAAACTTGCAAATGTGGGGTTAAGTCACCAAGAAAATTACCAAGTCTGGGTTATTTATATATGTGGCTAATACTATAAAAACAGATTCTTTGAAAGGACTCCCATTAGCACTGAAAACTAGCAATTTTTATTAAGGTTGTTTCTGGCTGATATGTCTTCCTGAAATAGCAACTTGTGGTTAAAACTAAGTAATTGAGAGAACATACTGATGAAATAAAACTCATATTTTAAGTCAAGACAGGAAATTTTTAAACATAAATTTTTCTTTGCCCTTTTGGGCCTCCCCCTTCCCCTCTGGTGTGCACTGTCCATCTGCAAGACTCATTAACCAGACTTCCCCAACAGTAGAAATCCCGGCGCAACCACAAAGATCAATTTTTCTTCTTCTGGCACCAGCCATGGAACTCCTTAGAAGACAACATTACTTACTCATAACCTTATATTATGAATGTTACTAATGATATTCCCTGTGTTCTGCCTATTTTACATGACTACTCTTCCTTGCATTGCCAATGCATAATTGAGCCTCCAATAAAAATAATGATGTCTAGGGGACTTGAAACGATTGACCAAGTGTATTGTTCTATAAGATCAATGGTTTTAACAGTGTAACTCTCGTTATGGGAAGAAGCTCCAAGAGGGAACCACTTCTTGGACCACAACTAGTAAGACAAGAGGTCCAGAGGATTTGGGCTACTGTTAACCCAGTTATCAGCACATTGAGTAGCCTGCCAAGGTAATCCTTGCCTGACCTGGAAATGAGCATTCCTAGTGCCATGGGACAAAGTGGTCACAAAATGCCTCCCAAATCTTGGTTGAAATTAAGGCCAAAAGGGAGGGAATCATAAAATAAAGAATGTCGCCCACCATCCACTTCTGCAAGAACCAAGTCATCCACCGCTGTAGTCGCTGACCCACGATACACCCTGGGGGGAATTCAGGGTGAAGATCAGCATGAGGCACATTTTGCTCTGGGAAAACTGGCAGAACCGGCCCTCAGATAGATATATTCAGGAGAAAATTTTATGAACCTAGTTTCTTTTCTTTTTTAAATTTTTTTTATTGAGGTATAGTCAGTGAATATATGAATATACATATATTCATTTTCATATTCTTTTTCACTGTGAACTACTACAAGATATTGAATATATTTCCCTATACAGTATAAACTTGTTTATCTATTTTATGTATATCAGTCAGTATCTGCAAATCTCGAACTCCCAGTTTAGCCCTTCCCAACCCCTCCCCCTGGCAACCACAAGTCGGTATTCTATGTCTGTGAGTCTGTTTCTGTTATATATATATATATAAGTTCATTTGCCTTTTTTTTTAGATTCCACATATGAGTGATGTCATATGGTATTTTTCTTTCTCTTTCTGGCTTACTTCACTTAGAATGACATTCTCCAGGGCCATCTATGTTGCTGCAAATGTCATTATTTTATCATTTTTTATGGCTGAGTAGTATTTCATTTTATAAACATATCACAACTTCTTTATCCAGTCATCTGTTATGGACATTTAGGTTGTTTCCATGTCTTGGCTACTGTAAATAGTGCTGCTATGAATATTGGGATGAAAGTGTCTTTTTGAATTAGGGATGAGCCCAGTTTCTTGCATCTCTCCATACTTAGAAAAGCACTGAAACCATTAACTATGGTATTCGTTCCTCTCAAATAGCAGTAAACCTTTCACCAAAATGTGTGCTTCACTGCGTGGACCCCTTCACCAAAACCCCATATACTTGCCTCCACTACCCCAACCCCCATACCTCTTTGGAACAGTCCTCAGAGCTTTCTTGAAAAACTGTCTCCTGGGTTATTTCCTGAAGTTGGCTCGAATAAAATTTTCCATTTCTTTCTTAGATTGGTTTTGATTAATGTTATTGTGGACAATATAACATGAGAAACTTTTAAAGAACTAGCATACAGAGCAACTTTTATTTGACAGATCAATGGGGGAAAACCTGGCCCTTTATTTGGGTGCATGTGGTGATTGACCTTGGACAAATCCCATCATTTTTCTGGGTCTCAGTTTTTTAAGCATAAACTAAGAGTTCCTGTGTGTTATCCTATCTGCTTTTGCAGTTTTGTAACTTTTTAATGAATGCTATTTAATAATTTTAGCAACCTGGGATCCACGTGCCAGTATAAATTTACAAAGAAAAGGAGACAGATGCTTATAAGGTACTTAACAAGATGAATGATAAACATTCTCAAAACTAGAAACTAACCCCAATCTGTGAATGGTTATACCCTGGCTGAGAGGCCCTACAGTAGCCAGTTTAATGGAGAACAAGTGAGCAATTATTAAGTTTGTTCCATCAGCTTTTTGACCCTAAAACCGCAACACAATCATTTGGGAGAATTACTTTCACAGTTTTGAAGGAGGCATCCAGAGGAGAGAAGACGGGTCTTAGGCAGGTTGTAAAGGAGGGTGACTTCCAGGTCCTTTCATTCTCATTTCTAAATCTCTCCTCTGGTGTCCCCCCTTCTTCATCGTTCTGTGTCCAGTGCCCTCGTGATCCTTCTGACTGCCCACATCCTTCCTGTGTTGATTCTCTCAGGGCTGCCTCCCACCCCCTACACCCCAAGTCTTCCGGGACTTCAGATTATTTGATCTCTTTCCTCTCTCACCCCCCTCCCTTAAAACTCCCATTCATTCAAGACAGAAAATCCCGCCAAGTTAAAGAATTAATTGATCTAATTCACACTCAGTTTGAATGACTCATTTGGCTAGGGAATTGGCATTGACTCTCAAATGTGACTCTCCAGTAGTGGTACAGTTTGACGTGTGGGGTATTCCCACGCTGCCCAGAAATTCTATGACACCAATTAGATGTCCTACAATTCAACTCAGTTTTGACCCTGTTTACCTGGAGGTGGCGTCTGATCCCACAGGTTAAGAACTCAGTCCTGTGAGACTGCCCAGCCCACTTCCCCTACTTTGGGCACCAGTCCCAAGTCCTGATTGTCACCTGCGCTTCTGTCTGGCTATAGATCGGAAGTTCCAATGACCCTCCTTGGGTTTGATTACTTTATCAAAGCAACTCAGTGAACTCAGAGAAGCATTTTATTTACTAGCTCACTAGTTTGTTAAGAAAGGATGTAACTGAGGAACAGCCAGACGGAAGAGATGCATAAGGCAAGGTGTGGGGAAAGGGCACAGAGATTCCACATCTTTTCTGAGAGGGCCACCCTCCCCAAATCTCTATGTATTTGCCAACTGAGAAGCTCTCTGAAACTTGTCTTTTGGGTTTTTATGTGGGTTTCATCACATGGACAAAATTGATTAATCATTGGCCATTGGTGATTGATTCAACATCCAGCCCCTCTCTCTTCCATGGAGGTGTGTGTTGTGTAGAGGGGGGGATGTAGGGAGGGGAGGGGAAGTGTGGCTCAGAGTTCCAACTTTCTAATCCTGAATTGCTCCACCTGCCCATCCTGAAGTGCTTCCCAAAAGTTACCTCAAGAACGTAAAAAAAGACACCTTGCTTGTTCTCCACACTTAGGAAATTCCAAGCATTTTAGGAGGTCTGGACCAGAACTGGATATGAATACTAAATATATATTTATCATAAATCATAATAATGTCACAGGTATCCTTTAGGGATAAAAACAGCACAGGGTAAACAAAATTAAAAAGCTGTTTGACTGCAGGACTTCTCAGATAGTTTAATATGCTAATGGCCATTTAATAGCTATTGGTAGAAGATTGCACCCACATTTTTCAGTATTATTTGATAATAGAATTTTAATATCTCAAAAAGCATTTTAAGGGATAATGTTTCTTAAAACACATGCTCAGAATTTGATATATGCTGTGGTTTTAATGGCTGCATAGCCATAAAAATGTTAGAAATTACCATGATTTGTTTAATTCTTTCTCCATAGATTAACATTTAAATTATTTCCAATCTAGCTGTTACAAATATTGTTGAAATAAACTTACTTGTATAAAAACCTTATTTCTCTAAAATCAACTGCCTTTTTTAACCATCAACTCTCTCATTAGATTGCGTTCATGGCGTCTCTGGCAACTCACTTCAGCAATCAGAACAGTGGGATTATCTTCAGCAGCGTTGAAACCAACATTGGAAACTTCTTTGATGTCATGACTGGTAGATTTGGGGCTCCAGTATCAGGTGAGAAGTAAAAATAAATAAATGATGAATTAATCAATCTAGCAATCAAGAAAGAGAAGGAAGGAAGGAAGAAAGGGAGGAAGGGGTGGGGGGTGGGGGAGGAAGGGAAGGATGAAGGAGGAGGGAACAAAGAAAGACATTAAGAGACTAAGGGAGTTAAGAATTCTTTGTGATTCTGGTTAAAACAAATAATCATTTACATATATATTTCCCTGTTGGATTTCAAAGTAAGTGAATTAGAATCTGAGAAGAAAAAAACACTTTTAAAAATGATAACATTCATTACTTAGATTATTAACTCTGACTTGAACTGAACCAAATAATCCCTAAGCGGGTATAGTTACCTCTGACTTTAAAAGCCCTTAGGTCAGAATTCTCACAGTTTAAATGTGTCATAACTGAGTTCATCCTCCTTGTAAAGATGATGTGATTCCCTTGGGCTCACCTGGATAATCCAGGATAATCTCCCCATCTCAAGACCCTGAACTTAATCACACTTGCAAAATCCCTTTGCCATATGAGGTAAGATCCTGGGGGTTTTAGGACATGGGCACACAAGGAGATCATTATTCAATCCCCCACAGCTTTCTTACTTTCTCGAGCCACAGCTGCTCCAAGTGAATATTGCATTTTTCCCTGTCCCAGCTCTGAAAATACCCAGCTTTCCCAAGGCTCCCCAGTTCCTTTCATTGGAAAGTAGTATTTGGAAACCAAGATCTGGGCACTAGGTGTACTCATCACTATTAGGATGTCACTGCGTCTAGGTCCTGTTAATGGATAGAGCTAGAAAATATATATGCATACTAACCCATGCATGCATATATATTTATATTTATTTTCCTATCTATCTATACCGTGCGTAAAAAGCAAACAAAAAATCATGAGTTCATTCTGGTACATCTGACTCAAATCCAGCACCACTGGGTTCATTCTAGCATTCCCTTTATTTATTTGTAACTTCTCTCTTTGACAATGAGAAACCAGGCTCTCTTAATCTATAATTTATTTACTTATTTGTTGAACCTTAGTATACAAAGTAGTTATAGAATTGCAAACCCCTGTCCCATGAGATACAAATTTACCAACTAGGGTATGACGTTTGTGCACAATTCTTTTTACATTTAAGGCATCCAGTCAAAACCCTGTCACATCCTTTCTTCCCCATGCCCTTCAGTTCTGTTACTTCATTCATTTGTTAACACAGCTAGTTCATTTGTCATAATCTTATCTCGAGCTTCCCTGGTATTCTGGCTGAGTTTTTAAAAGTCTGCATTTAGCAAAATTTATTCTTTGTGGTGTACAGGTCTATGGGTTTTGACAAGTGCATAGAGATACGTCACTACCATACTATCAAACAGAACCATCCTTTCATCCCCTGAAGTCCTTCGTGCTAGCCCTTGGTAGTCAGCCCCTGGGAACTCCAACACCTGACAATGACTGGTCGGTTTTCCATTCTGCCTTCTTTTTCTCCTTCACTGCCCGATTTTAAGCACAAGTGTTCCATTTCTCAGTATTTACCTCTGTATTTTAAGAACGATTTAAGTCATGTTTAAATTGCTTCATCTGTGACCTTCAATGATATAACAAATATCATTGTTATACTGTTATAGGTGTGTATACATAGACACCTATAGCATTGTTATATGGATATAACTCCCAAACATTACAAATAAGCCAGTCAATGAACTTATTATGTTGTTGTCTTATCTCTTTCTTACTTGTTGATTTTTGGTGGTTGAATCATTTGTATGCTGTCAAGGTATAAAACAATTACATTCTAGGTTTACATTATCCCCTGTTATGATTTGGACTTACCTTACAGTTAAATATATTCAGTGTTCACCATTAGTCATTTTGCCAAAGTTTCCCAGACATCTCTTTATTAGTCAAACTTTACCCTTTAATTATGTTCTCAATAAAACTTAGGACATCAATATTCGCCAAGACTTTACATGCTCTAAAACTCTTTGATAGAAACTTGGCTGCAAATAAAAACCTTGGCTTACATTTTTTCCTGTTTCCTGGCATTTGGTCCAGAGAACTCTGAAATAAATCTGAGGGTTTTTTTCTCTTGTAAGTGACTTAGTCTTTCTACTTGATTTCCCAAAGAACTTTTCCTTTATCTTCAAAGTCCGGTTGATTTTTTCTAGAAGTGTTAATCATTCTGGGTCAAATGTTCCTGCTGCATCTTTTCAATATGTGTGTATAAGCCTTCTTTTTGTCCAGGAAAGTTTCTCTGAATTATATTTTAAAATATAAATATAAATGTTGTTTTTCTTCTCATTGGGGTACTAAGGTGAGGTGGCATTGGAAGCAGTCTAATTTGTGTTGGGAAATCAGCAATAAGGGGTTATATTGTCTATAGAGTATTTTCAAACTGTAATAAAACCAATGAAAAGTTAGCTAGATTTTTACTATCATCATAGGCCAGCAGTTCTAAACAATGTCAGTGATAAAATGTTCCTCTCCTGTGTGGTGGACCACTCATTCACAAGCATGTCTCCTCATCCCCTCTGCACCTTAGTACACCACTGGTTAACTTTTTTAAGAACTCCAGTTATGCTTTGTTTTGTTTTTAACTTTTCTTATCTGTCTACAGTATGTATAGTTCTCTCTAACCTTTTGGTGCTCTTCCATTTCATGTTGTTTGCTTTTTCCATTTTTATCCTGCACATTTTAAATTTTATCTTCTGAGGGTTAATTCTCCCTTTTTGCTTCTTCCAATTTCTTCTGTCTTGTTTTTGTGATGCTTTTTATTTTAAACTTTTTCTGTGTTTTACATTAGTCATGATGTCCTGGTTTGCAGTTCCTCCTCTTGTCTGGTCCTGTCTACTACGAGTTTCTGTATTCTGTTTTTAAATGTTCCTTCAAAGGGGATTTGCATCATTAATATATTTTAAATTCATGATGGAATATTTGGTTATATTTTTCATCTACTACATGATAACATTTCCTGTTGGTGAGTATTCTTCATCAGTTGGTAATTTTTGTTGTTCTTTTCTACTTTCTAAAATTAACTGATGGTTAAATAAATTGGATTTTCCTAGATCAGCTCTATGCAGTAGTTTCTTGGGGAGGGGGAGGGACCCCAGTATAGTTCCAGGCTTGGTAACTCAGTGGTTCCCTCTTCTGCCACCAGGGGACTCCCATTTCTTTTAACTGTTGCTGCTCTGTGTGTTTTTTCCTGTGTGGCCACACGTCCTCCCCAGGACCTCCCCAGGGTCTGGGGGAGGAAAATTTCTGGGTCTAGGAAAACTTCGGAAACCAGCCTTACACTTGCCAACTCCTTTGCCTTTAAGAGCCTTATATTTGCTGGTAGGTTCTGAGACCCACCACTGCAGTACAGCTTTCCACACTTTCTGTACTTTATCTAGCAACTGTCCCCCCAAACAACTTCTGCTTCATCTCGGCCCTGCACACTGGAGCTTCTTTTCAGCATCTTTACTTCAGAGTGGCCATTCTGCATCAGGGAGTGCATTTTTCTGGGCACTGTTTGACGTCTGCTGCTACTTGGCCTCCTTAAAACTCCTTGTCCAACCTTCATGTTGCCTCCACGGGACTCTGCCTGCTGTCAGTTACATGCGACAGCACTTAACTGGTATTTTAAGTGTACTGACTTCTTCAAGGTCCTAGTTTTGCAAAGAATGAATACTTTTCAGTGTTCGTTTTCAGTTCTCCTTATGTGTCTATATGGTATTCAGAAGGAAAAGGAGAAAATTCTGATGGATGCCGTGGCCATGTTGCCACAAATTCTTTTAACCTGTGCCTTGATTAACTTTTCTACCCAGCTAAAGTCAGAAATGAACTAACATATGAAGTGATCAAAACAATCTTTCATCATGTTTCAATCAGCTTTGAACCTTCTTATGTGATTTTCTACTCTGAAAGTTTATAATTTTCCTGTAACTATTTTGTTGAACACTGTGTGTCATAGATTACATAAGTGTCTAGAGACACCCAATGAATGGTTCCATTGCTTTCAATGGCTTCATAATTGAAGCTCATGGATTTAGGTGCTTTTTAGGTTCTCTTGGGCTGGACATAATTCAAACAATAGCAATCATTATTTGACTCCCACTTTACTGTTTATACCTCACCCAATAGATTATAAAAGGGCCATTTTATACTTTTCAATTTTGGGAGTGATGGGACAAAGAAGGCTGACTTTTGCAATTACAGTCACACAAAGACCTGAAAGCCATAGGGCAAATGTGTTGCCTCTGGTTTCAGTACCTTTCCTTGCAAAGGAAAGCCATGTGTGGATATCACATAGATTCACTTTTGTATTGCCAACTCTAGTCACTTCATTTATTCACCATCTGGTTTCTTAGTTTTTCTAAAACGCTTCTGTGTCTATTTTTTATAGTGGTCATCTTATTTTTTTTCAGGAAAAATATCTTTTTTGTCATTTTGATTCCTACTTTATTTTCTTGAGGCATTGAAAACTGTTGTGTGTGTATGTAATAAGTTTTATAAAGTGCAAAAAACTCAATGCATGTAAACTACTTTCTTTGAGTTTCTAATTTTTATCTGCCTTTACTTTTCATCTGTGGACCCATCTTTAGGCATATGAATGGAAATGACTTGTTTTTATATCATTTCCTTTATTCCAGCACATTGAATATGCAAGACTGGAACTAAATTAAGCATAATCATACTTATTTATTTAGTTCAACTTGACTCAGAGGCAGATGGATAAACACAGTAGCCTTACAGCTTCAATATTACTTGATTGCACCTTTGGAAAACAGCATAGAACTGTGAAGTGCTTTATTTTTTTTTTTAAGATGTCTCTGGACTTTTCTTTTACAAAGCCTATTATGGTCTGATTGTTTGTGTCCTCCCCAAAATTCACACATTGAAAACCTCATGCCCAAGGTCATGATATTAAAAGGTAGGGTCTTTGGAGGGTGATTAGGTCATCATGAACTCTCATGAATGGGATGGGTGCCCTTACAGAAGAGGCCCCACGGAGCTCCCTAGTCCCTTCTGCCGTAAGAGGGTACAACCAGACGTCTGTGACCTGGAAGAGAGCTCTCACCTGGCCAGACTGGCACCCTGGTCTTGGAATTCCAGCCTCCAGACCATGAGAAATAAATTTTTGTTGTTTGTAGGCTTTTCAATCTGTGCTGTTTTGTTATAGCAGCTCAAACAGACTAAGACAAGGCCATTAAAATTTTTAAACTTAAAAAATATAGCATGGACATCAATAAGAGCATGATAGTTTCTATTCATTCATCTTTTCAAAATGGACTCTCCAAACCAAGATCATTTGGAATTAGGAAGATTTTCCTTTTTCCTCATCCCACCACTATTGGATTCTTCTTAATCGTTAAGTGAGGGGACTGGTATTTACAGTGTTTCAGGCACATTAAGTTGCTTTCAGTTAGAAACCCTAGACTCTTACAAGAAAACTTACAACTTTTAAAATATGTTGGTATTTTTTAAATGAGGATTCATATTTTCAGTAACAGGGTCATGCTGCTGAATCAAAGTTGAATCTTTCTATTTATTGTACATAATTTCTCCTTCTTACAATGAACAACATGAGAAATTACTGGAAGTGTTTCTTCAGAACTGATAAACATTTATCCGTGCTATGCTGCCTTATCTTTGGCTAACATTTGTGGCAAGTGTTGCACTTGGGTCATTTTGTTAAACTACAGAAGGCTATGTGTTCATCCATGCAGGGCTCTCTACTTTGTCCATGTGAGCCTTGTGGGAGGTGCTGATGCTGGTCGATCAATACGGAGGAACAGCATGTACCTCCCCTTAAGCACTTTGTCAGGGGCAGGATGGGCAGTGAGAGACAGCCAAAATTAGAGGAGCCTCCTTCCTTTGAAGGCTTTGTAATCTTGTTAGGGATACACGGTATACAAAAAAACTTAAAGCAATTTGAAGATGAGAGCAGATACAGGGACATTCATATGAATAAAGGCCAAGAAGAACCAATGTATCACATAGAACACAAAGGAAGTGTGAAGTCATGTGACATATCTCCCTGCTATCTCCCAGTCTTCAATATACAATAGTTAATTCAAATGTGGGTAAATATCTGCCTTTTCCAGGTGTCTATTTCTTCACCTTCAGCATGATGAAGCATGAGGACGTAGAAGAAGTGTATGTGTATCTCATGCACAACGGCAACACAGTCTTCAGCATGTACAGGTGACTGGTCTTTTCCATCAGGGAGTATCCATGCTGCCATTGTTTGCTCAAAGGCTGGCCAAGGCCAGGGAAGCATAAAGGAATCAACAGAGACTGGCATGAACCTTGCTGTCATTGAGAACTCCCATATATCAATACACAGCCAGGTTATATTTACTGTCTGGGAAGCAGTAAATCTCATGAACTTGAGCATAAGCAGGTTGATAAGAGACCTTGAACTACTTACTAGCAACACTCTCCATGACTAATCATTTGTATTCTTTTCTTAACTCATTCTTTCCTTCTCTCTCAGCCCTTTCTTCTGCTTCCCTCCTCTCTGCCCTCTTCACCTACCGAGTCTAGCCCTCTTGATGGCTTCCTCTATCAGCCCCTGAGCTGGCAGGTTGAGAGTTGAGGGTTGGTCTCCCTCTTTAGGCTGTGCTGCTGCTCTGACATTTATCTTAGCAACCTGGTCCTAGGGCTCCTTGGGGAAAAAAATCATTTTAAAAAGAAATATTGCAACTTGATCTGATGTCAGCTTAAAATGCAGGAAAAAGCCTGAGAGCCAACACCTTTCCTGTAGTTAAATAAATAGGTGGTGAGTTATCTGTGACAAACTTTGTGGTTATCTTTTCTCAGTTACCTTTGATGACTTGTGGGGATTGTCACATTTTTTTCTGGAGCCTGGCCTCTAGTAAGAGGAGGCATTTGAAAAGCCAAAAAAGAAAAAGATGAGTTAGGTAGGTGAAACTGCTGTAACAAAGAGATGCAGACTATCATGGCTTGAACACACTAGAACCCTATTTTTCTTGGCCAGTTCCAGGTTGGGGAAGGAAGCAGAGAGGGTGGAGGAGGGGACTGTGTGGACGTTGGAAGGATCATTGCTCCACCAGGTTTCTGGGGGATCCAGATGGGTGAAAGCAGTTCTGCCATCTGTAAAACTGACTCCCAAACTCTCACTGGTTGTTGCCACTGCCACGGTCAGAAGGAGGAAAGAGCAGCAAACTCATGGAAAGTTTTATGTGTCAGGCATTCTATTGAAAGTTGTCACATGTTTTCCCAAATGTTTTGCTACAGCATGACAGGGATCTCCAGGGTTCAAGCCCACAATAGTTGTTTCCTCTCTGCTCTCTGCCTGACCATGAGCCAATGCAACATATTTTGGTTTGGGTTATGGCAGGACCCTCCTTTAGTACCAAGTCCTCCATTGGTTAGGGTAGATTGACATTGACCCAAACATTGACCCAATGGCTTAAACAAAATAGAAATTCCTTTTCTCCTCATGGAACAGTCTTCAAGCACTCAGGCTTCAACATATGGCTTCTAAGGTCATCCTAGTCATTGTCATTAGCATTCCACACAGTCATAATGAGGAAGGAGCAAGAGGGGCTATTTCTGAGACTTGTATTGGTATTGGCTAATCCTATAAGTGGCACATGTCATTGCTGTCCACATGCCATTTAGAGAATTTAATCCCAGGACTATACCTAAATACATGGGAGTCTGGGGGAGAAGGGGAGGACAGATTTTGGTAAAGAGCTGGCTTTTCACTGCAAAGACTAAGCAGTTGGTGCCTTTTTCCTTTCTAGCTATGAAACCAAGGGGAAATCAGATACATCCAGCAACCATGCCGTGCTGAAGCTGGCCAAAGGGGATGAGGTTTGGCTGAGGATGGGCAATGGTGCTCTTCATGGGGACCACCAGCGCTTCTCTACCTTTGCAGGCTTCCTGCTCTTTGAAACTAAGTAAATGAATGAAGAGACCAGCTGCATTTGCAGGAAGACTTATAGCTGAGCTGGTGTTGTCGTGATCTGCAGGACGTTAGAGTTGATGGTTCTATATGTTGTGTTTTTTTTTTTAATTTCATTGGTTACATTGCTAATCATGCTACAGGTACAACAATAATGAGGGATGACTGCAGGGGCTCAGAGAATAAACCACAAAACAGTCTTCCCAAGTGGCCTTGATTAGCATACTCAGCAAGCTTTATCACTTCCCTGGGCACCTAAAAGAGAATTCTCCTCTTGATACAGGTTGGAAATCATTGTTCCCATCAGAGAAGTCATTAGCAAAGAGTTTTAGCTGCTCTGTTTTAAAATTAATAGCAGCTTTTGGGAACCCCTGAGGTTTTGGGTTCATCATTCTTTACAACATTTGAGAGAACAGGGTGCAGTGATTATGATGGGACCAGGGCCAAAACCAAGGTACCAGAAATATTTGTAAAGCCTAGACTGGGCAGTAACACTTTGATCCAGTGGGTCAATATTCAGGAATATAGATTTTTTTTTTTTAGTAATTCCAGATAGCTTTTAGATAGTAATAGAATCCACAATGCTCACAAAGAATTGACTCCTCCTTTTCTATAAGGATACTGCTGTAATTAAATCTTGACTTCAAATGGCTTACATTTTTGGAAATAGAATTTTCCTGTAATCCAGAATTGGGCTGACCAGATCTGGCTTATCAGATTGCCTCTTTCCCATTGCATTTCTTACAGTACAATAGAGCTCTGTTGACTCTGGCCTGAGGTGAATGCAGGTCCATATTGTACAGATATAATCACTTTCTCTTCTATCAGTTTAGAAATTACCCTAATACACTTTAAATACACTGACATGTCATGTATAAGGAACTGTAAACTTAGTTATATACAGTGAAACTAATGGATACATAATAAAAGGGCATTCCACTTAGGAGACATATAATAAAATTGCTTAACCTTTTTTTTTGAATAAAAGATGATTACTTTGATTACTGTATTTAATCAATAGTCATGGAGCAGCTGTGCTGCTTGAATTCTTCCTATCCCTCCCAAAAGTCGATTCTTAAAAGATTAAATTTGTCACCAAAACGATATTCATGATAATGTGCCATAAGTTCTGATGCTAGTACCTAAAGATGGTACCCAAAATTGGCTTATTTTAAGCAGAGAATCATTGGAATATATGTCTACCCTGAGGTTGAGTCATATTTAAAATGCACTAGAGAGATGTCCATCTAACAGATATCATATAATGAATTCTCTTAGAAATAATGAGCCCTTAATTTCTCTTCTGTTACAATTTGAATTTCCACAAAGTTTTTTTAACTGCTTACTCATGTTGATTACCCTCTACAGCTAGAATTGGAGAGAATTAATTTGCTAACTTAGTGTGTTCTCTGTTCAGTTCAGTCTTTGCCCCTTTCCTTTTGAGCTACAAATATTTTGAAACTCTTCCTGAATCCACATGCAATGCTATTTTAAGTGGATGGATATTAGCTATACTGTGCTTGGCTGGTGATGTTTTTGTGATTTTGTGTGTATTCTCCTTCCCCCTCCCTTGCCCCAGTGTGGGGTCATGGGGTTGAAGTTTACTCTCACCAAATGTCCTAGAGGTACATTGCAAATAGGTATCTGAATGTTGCATGTTGCCCCAAGGAATTTCACATCTAAAGAGCATGTACTACCAATAAAGTGCCTTAGAGTACGATGTTGGCCTGGCTTTGGATAAAACTGAGCCAAGAGAAATGTCATAAGCATTATATGGAAATAAACCCACCTCTGTTAAATGTACTGTTTTATAATGTTCTTAATAAAATCGAATACTCATACAATTGTTGAGTTACTATGATGTGTTAATGCAAAGTTGAAATATTTTCATGCAGATGATGTAAACAGCTACACAGTTGATGTGGGCACAGAGCAGGGTGATTGTCTACAAAAAAACTCTACTTTTCATTTATTCCATTGTTCTAACTTCAACCCTTTGAATCTTTAAGACATTGATGTGTAGAGTGTCTGTGATGAAATCTGGAGGGACCTTCATAGCTCACCTGAAATCTTTCTGTATTGATGCCTAAATTCCAGTCTTCACCTTAGGAGAGATATCCAAGATTTGGTGGCAGGCAAGTTAGAAAGCAATTCGGGCTGGCAAATAAATCCAAAGTGTGAAGAAGGGGATTAGTGCAGAAGGCAGCTGACGGCCAAAGTCATGATCAATGTTTCACAATTTCACCCAGGGCCAGAATTTTATATGCAAGACCTATTTTGCACGTCTTTCTAAGACGGAGGCTCTGAAAAGGAGATAGTAGGTAGGTGTTGTGGCAAATTTAAATGTATCAGCTAAGCAACCAGCTTTAAAATTCCAAACCCCAAATGAAGGCAAACACTACAAATTAAACACATAGGTGTCTGCTTGCTGCAGAAATGCAATACAAGGTAGAACAGCTTCACATAATGATCAGATAGGGTGATTTTCCAGTGTAGAAAAAGCAACCTTTGAACCTTGCACAGCAAAAAGATTATACTGAAGGAATTTTCTGAGCATATTATGTATAAGAGCTGAAGTCAAGAATAATCAGAGGGTAGAATAATCAAATGTATTCTCCCAAGGGCCTGGCTGGAACTGATCAACATTCACTCTGTGCAAAGATAATGTGCTATTCCAGGAGTGACTCAGCATTTAAAGTGCAAATTTTACCTTACATGAATTTTCAACCTAATGGAGGAAGGTAGGTAAAAGGGGGAGGTGCATGGATGATGTAATGCAGAGTAGACTGTTTTAATTGCCACAGAAGGTAAAGGGCTAGAAATTCACAGGAGAGAGAAACAGCTTCTCACAGAGCATGAGGACCGTGTGGAAAAGATGTATTTAATGGCTAAAGACAATTTCTTGCTTTATTATGTTTGGAATATTTTATTTTTAATCTTGTTCTTTTCTGATCAAAAAAAATGCTGTAGAAAATTTATAAAATACATTTAAGTATTTTGTATAAAAATGAATGCTGTCACCAAACATTAGATATTAGTATTTTGAAGTATCTGTTTCAGTCTTTTTCAGCATATATTTATGTCATGAAACATGACATAGTCATGAAACAAACCACTTGATGTTACAGTTTTTATATATTTTTATATCTTACTATGGTTTGCCCTAACACATGAAGAGCACTCTTAAATGCTATTAAGGATTATTTGAAAACATACTTTTATTGGCTGCATAATTTATTTAACCTTTTCCATTTGGGGAGATATTTTTGCTCTTTTCAGTTTTTTCCCCCACTATTGCAAATAATTTGGTCTCCACCTCTGGTTCTTGACACAAAGCTCCTAAACCCTTTGTAAATAGAGGTGCCAAGGGCATCTTTTGTTTTAACATTTGGTCCTTGGCTCCAGTTCTTAAAACCCTTGTAATTTCCTGAGTGGTAAGAGCACTAAGGGCGTCTTTTTCCCTAATATTTGATCTTTGGCCCCACTTCCTGTTGGAGTTCCTAAATCCCTTGGGATTTTCTGAGTGACGATACTATCTTTTGTTTTAATGAGGTGACTCTTGGTGGGCTCCTGGGTGGGGGCTGGCCATCAAATCATGATTAGAAAGACCACACCACAATTAGAAAAACCAAGCCGTTAGAGCAGGCAGAAAGCTAGATATGAGCAGAGAAAGGGAGGCACGGGCCAAATGGCAGGAAACCATTCATCCTTGGGCAGACAGGAAAGCAAGAACCTCTGGACTAATAAGAAATCACGCATTTTGAGGTGACAAGTGTCCTGGAGGCAGACAAAGAAAGGTGGGAAAAGGTAACCTTTTGTTCATTATGCCCTTATTACAATAAAATTAGCCTTGCAGATTAGAAGTATCCATTGTGCACTGATGTCATGACACTTCTGATCAAGACTAAACAAGGACAAAAACTCCTCCTCCCCTCCAGAAGGTGGAACTGGAATGGAAATCAAGAAATACAACCCCAAACCCCTTCCTCTCCAATGAATATTATGCCCATTCATTTTTACACTCTATGTAACCAGCTTGCCAAAGAAACTCAGCACAGCTACTCACCTGAGCCTGCCTGCTCTCCCCTTGAGAGCATCCTATCACTTAATAAATCTTTACTTTACTTTCTTGATCTCTGTGTCTCATCTCTGAATTCTTTCTGCGACAAGACCAGAACCTATTCACTAGCAACAAAACTATGATTAGAAGCTTGGAATTTTCAGTTCCACCCACCCCCTCATTGTCCCAAGAGGGGAAAGGGACTGCATATGGAGCTAATGACTGATCATGCCTGTATCATGAAGTCTCAATAAAAATCCCAAAAGTATGGGATTCAGAGAGCTTATAGGTTGGTGAACACACCTACATGCTGGGAGGATGGTGCATGCCAACTCCATGGGGACAGAAGTTCCCGTGTTTGGGACCCACCCAGACTTCACCCTCTGTATCACTTCATCTGGCTGTTCGTCTGTATCCTTTATCATATAATAAACTGGTAAACATAAGTAAGTGTTTCCCTGAGTTCTATGAGCTATGCTAGCAAGTATTCAAATCCAAGCAGGGGAATCACGGGAACCTCTGATTTGTAGCCAAGTCAGACAGAAGTTATAGGTAATCTGGGGATCTATTACTTGCTATTGGCATCTGAAATCGGGAGCAGTACTGTGGGACTGAACCATTACCCTGTGGGCTCTGTGCTACTGCCAATTAGTGTCAGAACTGAATTGAACTGTAGGATATCCAGCGCCAGAGGATTGCTCGGTGTGGGAAAAAAAGAATCCATACAACTGCAGTCAGAAGTGTTGTGTGTGTGGCAGTAGTGTGAGAATAAAGGAGAAACACCCAGCAGGAGTGAGTTTTTCCTACTTACCCTCCTACATGCAAAATACATTCACCCCCACCGGCTGCAAAGTCCCCAGAGGTCTCATGCCATTATAGCATTAGCTCAAAGTCCAGAATCTTGTCCTTTACATCAGACCCAGAGGTGGATTAGGCCTCTTGACTGTAGTTCTTTAGTTCACCTCCTTGAGTACAGTTCATCTTGATCTGTTGGTCTGTGAAATGAAAGAGACAAGACATTGCCTTCCCACCCCCCCGACCCCCACCCCAATACAACGGTGGGACAGGGAAAGGATAACAAGCATAGATGTTCCTACTCAAAAAGGGGGAAATGGGAGAGACCAAGGAGCCACTGGTCCATGGCAATTCTGAAATCCAGTTGGCCAGACATAAAAAAGTTCCTTGATGAGATTTTAAAGTCTATAAACACTCCAGTATATATCTGAGAGAAATGAGTTGGTTTTTTGTTTTGTTTTAAATTATAACTACCGTAACATTTTTACAAAAAGAAAATAATAATTCCTTAATATGACCTGATATCCAGTGTTAAAAAGTATCCCCAATTTCAAAACAAGGTGTACAAACTGCATTTGATTAACACACCTAAGTCTTGAAATCTGCAATGATTTCTCCTTTACTTATTTATCTATTTATTTATTAATTTGTCATTTGCTTTCCAACATTGTGAATATGCTGAGTATATCTCTTGGTGTTACATGGCATCTTCCTCTGTCCCACGCATTAACCATAAGCAGATAATGTGCTTGCTTTGATCTAGGTTTAATCTTTTGCAGGATAATTTCATGGGTGATATTATCTATTGCATCACTCCAAAAGGTCCATAACATCTTATTGTCTCTTTTTATGACATTAAAATTGATCAGTGAGTTCAGGGTATCTCAGCCACGTCCACATATTATAAGATTCCTCTATTAATTTTTGCCTAATGTTTTTAAGCAATCATTGATGATTATTGCTTAAATGCACTTCTTCATTAGCAGTTCCAAAATAGTGACATTTTAAAAGGAAGACTTCTTTCTTTAGCCATTTGGTTATCTGGAAATACTGTTCATACAGAAAAGATAGATGCTTGATTTTTTTCAGTTTCATTTATCACATTTTAGAATAATGAAATTGGTGCCTTAGCAACTTTTAAAGGTGATTAATTAGGTCTTTTAAAAAGGTATTATTATCAACTCATGATTTTTCATATATTTGACGTGTTTCAATCCCCCCCCCAGTCATTATTCTAACTTAATGGTCCCATCCTAATTGTCACGGGGACACCCTTCAAGTTGGTACCTCCATCCTTTTGACTCAGACACAGGCTGAGCAGCTGGGTGGAGGGTCACGTGGAGACCGTGCAGTCTTCAATACTAACCAGACTTTCACGCTGTGACCTCGAATATGACTCTAGCAACCCAAGTCCTGCCAACTGCCTGAATTCAGCTTTCTCAAGCAGTTATGTGAACTACTTCATACCCTTCCAATGAATTATTTTGAATTTAAGCGAAGAATCCCTTCTGATCTAAGAAGGAGTAGAAATCAGGAGATCAGTTAACGTAAGACGGAGTGAAGAAGTATGTTCAGAAGAGTGAGTGCCATGTGACATCACTTATGTAAATTAAAACCAAAACATATTTTGATTAAACAAAATATAGTATATATGCAATAGAGCTACAGCATCGATAGATATAATGGACTGTGGACCACGCATCAGAATCATGGGAGTGCAGCGTCTTTAATGGTGGGGTGAGGAGGAACAAAGTTATGTAACTGCAGTAACTGGGTTAAAGCTTTTTGGAAGGAGCTAAAAGCAGCTGGCCTCTGATCTATTTACTCCTCTCAGCTGGTAAATGTGGAGATGCCCAGGGGACTAAAGAAAAGGCAAAAACTCAACCGAACCTTGAGTAAAGAAATTAATCATATTTGCTTGGAAGAAGAGAATTCACCTGCTGAATGCACTTAACAGGCTATCCCCTGGCCACAGGATTACTCATACTAAATAAATCTAGAATTGAGGAGGCATGGTTCTATAGCTAAGTAACTCTCTGGGATATAAAATAGCCTGTTTGGTGACCTGAGAACTTCATTAAAGACCTCATCAGTAATCGTGGGTTACAGGGCATATTCGTTTGCTAGGGCTGCCATAACAGGATACCATAGACTGGCTTGTTTAAACAAAAGAAATCTCTTTTCTCACAGTCCTGGAGGCTAAAAGTCCAAAACCAAGGGGTCAGCAGGTTTCTTTTGGTTTCTTTTGACGCCTCTCTCTTTGGCTTGCAGATGGCCGCCTTGTGCTATGTCCTCACATAGTTGTCCCTTGGTTTGTATTTTCCATGTTCTAATCTTCTCTTATAAGGACCCACTCATATGACCTCTTTTTACTTAGTTATCTCTACAGGCCCTATCTCCAAATACAGTCAGATTGTGGGTGCTGAGAGTTAGGACCTCAATATATGAATTTAGAAGGGACACGTTTCAGCTTGTTACAGAGGCTATGTGTCTAATGCAGGAAGGAAGTGAGACAGGATGGAAGGGGGCAGGGCACAGCCATTCAAGGAACAACACAACAATTAACATCAAAATGGTGAAAGATTCAACCCCCAGTAGGCCTTGAGGCTCAGGATGATGAGAGATTTAACTTCTAGTGGATCTTGAGCTTCATTATACGCCCATTGTAATAAAGTAACATGGTGAGTAACACACCCACAGGCACCGTGGCAGTTCCAAGGCTAGCCACAAAAGATCAAAGAGTGGGAAATGGCCAACTTCCTGGGAATTCCAGCCCCTCCCCCTTAGACTGGTGCTTCCACTTATTAGCATATGAAACCACCAAGTCCATAAAAACCAGCAACATGGCGCCTCGTGGCCGCCCCTCTATCCCCCTCTTCGGAGATGGCCGACATTCTGTCTATGGAGTGTGTACCTACCTACTTTTAATCTGAGCACCCAACCCCCACACCTTGTAGCCTTTCTCTTGCCTTTTAATGTATCTCTCTAAATAAATCTACCTTCACTCAACTGTGGCTCGCTCTTGAATTCTTTCCTGAACGAAGCCCAGGACCCACACTTGGCAGGGCACGTCCCAGGGGCTCAACCGAGACCTGGGACAGAGCCCTCCTGACGCCCCACATCTGTTTTCCTGCATCAGAAGGACCTGTAGTGTGAGACTTCCCAGACTTCTGGTTTGTCTGAGCTTTTCCGTGACCTGTATCTTTGAGCTCATTAGTAAAGTTTCATGCTACTTAGACCTCTGGCTCACGTGAATCTGATCCTGGGTGTTAGCTCAAAGTTTATCTGTACTGTTTATTTTTTTAGAAAAATAGACTGGAAGCCACCATGAAAAAATAGTGTCCTGGATGTCTGCTATATCATTTTGTACTTTCCTCTTTCAAGTTTCTCAAAATAAAAATAAAACAAGAGGAGGAGTTAAGGAAACTTACGCCTGAACAAAGGTAGGAAGGTGGGATAGCAAGGGACGAGGGGTGGGGTGGCCGGGGTGTTACATTAAATGAGGTCATTAGCGGATGTGGCTCTAATGCCCTTGCAGCCTCTGTAAGCAAATCAAATTTAACCTGGTAAACGCCTCAGTTATGAAATCAAAGATTAAGAACCAAATACAAACAGCCAACTGGGCTTTAAGGTAAAACCAATCAATTTGTTCGCTTTGCCTCCGCCTTTTCTGTGTTTCTCCGTAGTTCCTAGTGCACTCCTAACTGCAAGGAGTGGGGCTATTTGTGATTATTTTATTGTACTTTTTAAAACAGTGCATTAGAATAAAAAACTTGAAACCATAATTATCCATAGAAATGGCAGGTGCCAAATCAAAAATTTTTTAAAGCTCTCTCTTTTGGCTCTGATGAGCACTGCCCGCTCTAATTTTTTTTTTAATAGTCCGCATTACTCAAGCCGTGTGTGGAGGAAATCACTGAGTGGGTAAGAAGTAAAAGTGGTGAAAATAGTTTGCAGCTCACTGAAGAAAATACCATAGCATGGTTCTTTTCAACAATTTTTTAAAAAAATCAAAGCTATGTAGTTTCGTCTTTATATTTATTTGGGGTGGGTAATTAGGTTTATTTATTTCAGTGGAGGTACTGGGGATTGAACCCATGACCTCGTGCCTGAGAGCTATACCCTTACCCCTTAAATTTATTTTATGAACTCAGTTTTGAGTATTTTACATGCCACTTTCTTAAATATTTATATGCTTTTTTTTCCTCCAGGGCAGGACAGAGGTAGGGTCCCAAACAGCACAGCGGTGGGGATCGCAACAATGAGAGTAATAGCGTCCGGGGAAGACGAAGACAGGTCTCAGGCTCGAAATGCCAAGCCCAGAACACAATTTGGAACCCAGCACGGGACGAAAACAAGCTGCTCAGCTGACCCGGCGCCCGC